GCAAGCAACCACTATTTGAGTTGGAAGTTACTGGAAGAGAAAAGATAAGATAAAGATTATATAAGATTATATAAGATAAAGAGAAAAGATAAAGTTTTTAAAGCTAAAAACGATTAAAAGACTTAAAAGATTGCAAATTTTATAAATCAGGAAAACAAGAAGACAAAAAGAAGAGAGTGAATTCCAAAGGACTTATGTTCAAGGAAAAAATCTAGACGAATAAGAATTTTCGGAGCACTTAGGAACAGTTACAATAAAAGGATGAGACTTAATTGAATGAAGAGTAACACAAAAATGAATTTTAGTAGATGGTACAAGAGACGCTAGCTCTTTAGAGCAACACTTCTTATATATTTATACTTTTTTATTATTTGTATTTATTTTATTTTTTTATCTTATATATATATATATATATATATATATATATATATATATATATATATATATATATATATATATATATATATATATATATATATATATATATATATATATATATATATATATGTATATATATATATATATATATAAACTCGTTTCTCTCACACACAAACATTATTTAATGAACTCAATATCCTAAATGTATATAAACTAAATTATTTTGTTCAATTTTTAAAAAAATAAATCACATATACCCTACTAAATTTTCAAAATACAACTACATTCAATCCAAAACTTATTATTCCGCTACTAAATTCTTTATTGTAAACCGAGGACCAAAGCTGTGGAACATAATAATAAATAACTAACTGAAAACTAATAATTTTCTTAACCAATTCAAAACAAAACTTAAGCAATTACTTTCGTTAAATGAAAATTAATTAAATTTCTTCTTATAAAGCTTCTTTAAATTAGAAATCAATAATTATTAGTTAATTAATTAATTACTGTAGATCATTAATACATAATTAATCAATATATGTACATATATTTTATTTTTTGAAATGATTATCTTTTTTTTTATTTTATTTAAATTTTGTTTCTTTTATTTTACAAAACTTATTCTTTAAAAAACTATAAATTTTAAAAATTATATATTTACATTTTCTTTTATATTAATAATTCAGGTATTTATACATTGAAACTATATTTTATTGTTAAACTATATTTATCTAGTAATGACCCATTTTTTGGGGCTAGGTGATAAGACTAAATTTGAATTCTAGCTCCGGTCATATAATAATTTTTTATACCTGTAAATTTTTTTTTTTATTGGGAAAAAATGTTCATAAATAAATATATATATACCCATGGATATTCCAAAAAAATCATAGTTTAAAAATGTCGATCTCCCTAACTGTTTTTTGGTGATAGGTAGCATAAAAACTTTAAATTTTAAATTTCAAACCCAAAATGTTAATCCTAACCCTTGCCCCAAGTCCCTCCAAAATATTTATTTTTTGGTTTTTTCAAAGATTTTAAATTATTTTTAATCTATAACTTTTCGTAAGTAAACAAACAAGTAAACTTAGTTTAAACTTTTATTTTGCATAAAAAATTCAGAAAAAATCATAGCAATGATAACAAGTTTAGTATGGGGATTAAAATATCATAAATATTACTATTTTTTTCAAATTTTTTGGTATTTCTCATATATATAGTATTATTGATATTTCTTATATTGAGTAACAATCAAAATTAATCTCATTAAAAAAAAAAAAAAAATTTAACTTATTATACATTTGGATATGAAGAAATACACAAAACAATTACAAATTGACTTAAAAAGGAAAAGGTAATTATGCAGTACTATGTAGCTTTAGACATGTTAGCTTCACTACGTAATATAGGAAAAAGCAACTACAAAAGGTAGTAAAGTAAAAGTTTGTTTAACGATTATTTAAAGTTGTCTTTCTGAAATTGATAAAACACTTTCTGTGGTTTTCAACTACTTGTAACACTTTGCTTGCTCTTTTCATCTTTTGTTAGGGACAATAAAATGTCTTTCATCAAGTTTACACCTCTCTCAGCAACATCATTAACATTTCTAATATTTTTCAAAATGTTCATTGCTTTAAGATGCTCTCCTCCCATGTTTGCGCAGGAGTTTTCAGCTACACCAAGGAGTTTTCAGTTGACATCAAAGGTTTCAATTAGAAGCTAAGAGTATTGTCCAAACTATGATGAAATTTTGTATTTTTAGTCACTATAGAAAACGAAAAGGTTGAGATTATGCAGTGTGACATTGCATAGGTAAAGATTGTGGTTGTGGCAAAGGTTGAGATTGTGCAGATGAGACACTGCATAGGTAGAATTGGAGTTCCTTAACAATATTATTTTTTTCTTTGTTAGGCAACATTTTTGAAAACAATAAAAAAACTACAATTTCCTTGGTTAAATAGCAAAAATGATTTTTAAATATTCTTAAGGTGCTTTCTGATATTTTCTTGTTGATGACTTTAAAGTCCTGCAAGTTATTAAAAAGTTTCAAGTCATTAAAAGGAGTGTCAACTCCAAGGGGGCATGTTAACTAGTACTTGACATATACAGGAGCGTTAAAAAGACATATATCTCTCAGCTTCACAGTAGTTACCTAATTATAGCCATAGAATCTCTGTGGCTATAATTAGGCACATAAAGAACACATTTTAGCAGCATATATCACTGACAACATCCATCTTACATGATGAAAATCCCTAAGCTTGCGCCAATGTACAACTCTATCTGGAATTTCTCCAAGTAAAATTAACATGAGTTCTGTGCATTCCGTGTAATCATCTTTTAGTTCAAAATTCTTATTCTTGAGCTGCTCTTTAAAAATAGAAATTGCAGAATTTTGCTGTAGCTTCATATTTCTGACTTTAAAATTTAAGCATTTTAAGTCATTCTTATATCATTATACAAGAGAATTTTTTTTAGAAATCCTTAAAGTATTCATTATTTGGGTCAAAATAACGCTTAAGTCCAAATAACGCTTGCCAATTTGAAGTCTTTCCTGTTAAAGTCTTTCCAGTATGTGATGTCTGCATGCAAAATGAAACAGCTTTTTTTTCAAAAAGAATTTCAATTTTTATGCATGCACCATTTTTCTATTTTGAGTTTGATGCAGTTGTGTCAAAAGACAATCTATATTATCTTAAATTATATTATATTAAAAGACAAAACTATATTATCTGCTAAATCCCATTAGTGTACAAAAGAAAATGTAGCTGTGGCTTGACTAGACCCAGTGCAGTGCATTCTCTATTTCTGGAATGTCTAACAATTTACCTTGTTCTTGGTCTTGAGTTCCTGAAATTGATATTGCTATTCTATATAACTGTTTCTTGTGAAGGTCTTCCATCACTACTACATCAAAATGCCAAAAACGATGATTTTATTTCTTCTTCCATTATGATGATTTTCATGATGATATCAATAACACAAAGTTTTTGCAATAGCCCCAGTGTCTAAATCAACTCCACTACTTTTTAGTATTATAGCTATGTTGCTTGATTAAGGAATAGATTCAAAAAATCAGCCAATTGAAAATTCTCTTTAACTTTTAAGTGATATTACAAACAGTTCTTTCTTAGACTTTTTCAGGGGAAGAAGTTCTTTATTTGTATAATCTAGATCATCATCTTCTTTCGAATCTTCTAAAATTACTTGAGTTGATTGCTCTATAACTTTTTTTTCAACATAATTTTCACTTTATTGTTTCCTTTTTTTATAACTTTGCAGTTTCCTTATATAATCTTTGTCAACAGAGCCTAAAACAACTTTTTTTACCATCCTTTAAAGCATCTTAAAACTTCAACAAGTCTTCTTCTTTTTGTTTAGTGTTCCTTAATTTGTCACACTTAACAATACCAGCTGTCTCTTGATTTATAATTAACAAAACTCCCTAGGGATAATTATGCACATATGCACAATTATCCCAAGGGAGTTTTGTATGTATTTTATATATCATAACCTATTTTTGCAAAAATAGTTTATAAACATTAAATCATAATAGCTTAAATAAGAAATTAACGCATATGAGCATCAAAACAAAAGACGGCAAGTTACTAAAATTTTGATATACTTTTGATGTATTTTAATGTATTTAAAAATACTAATAAAATTGAAAAAATTAGTAATATCTATGATGTTTTAATTCCCATATTAAACTTATTATGATGGTCTTTAATTTTTTTCTGAACATAGGCATAAAATAAAGGTTTAAACTGAGTTTACTTGTTTGTTTATTTACAAAAATTTATAGAATAAAAATCATTTCAAATCTTTCAAAAAACCAAAAAATAATTATTTTTGGGGGACTTGGGACAATGGTTAGGGTTAACATTTTGGGCTCAAATTTGAAATTTAGGGTTTTTACGCTACCCATCACCTGAGAACAGCTGGGGAGATCAACATTTTTGAACTTTAGTTTTTTGGGAGCCCCCTAATATACACCCACACACAAATAAATATCAAAATTTACTTTTGCAATTATGGTTGGGACAGCTAATTGTTTCTTTTGTGCTTCCATTACAATAAAGTCCACCATATTTAGGGAATGGAATGGAACAGTCCCGAAATCTACTTCGAACACCACCTTGGCATGGTTGAGTGCACAATGACCAGGAAGACCATTGAGACCAACCACCATTTACTACAAAATCATAGAAGAATGTTTTTAAAAAAAACTTCAAAATCATTTCAAAAAATCCATAAAGAGCTTTAATTATTTAAAGTTAAAAAGAAAAGAAAACAATTTAAAAAACAACAAACAAAACAAACAAACAATAAAAATAAATTAACGCAAGAAGAACAAGTAACCTGGATAAACTTCAGCTATACTACATTCTTGAGTATAATTGCTTACACCCATACAAGTTAGACCAAAATATGCTGGAGAGGGATTGTCACAACTTCTTGTGAATAATTTTATTCCACCTGATAAGGTTTGTAAGCATTCAAACTCTTTCCATTTACTCCATAGTCCATCAACTTAAATGATAAATACCTTGTTTAAATTCTTACCATAATAACAAATTTTGAAAGTTTTAAAAATTACACAAGTTTTCAATTAATATGATGTTAATATACATTCAAGTGTTTCAAAAAAATTACATTTAAAAAAATTTTTAACACAATTTTTAATTACCATTTTTGCAAGGTGCCCCAATATTACTATTAATTGTTTTTTTTCATAACTAAACATGACTTTTCTCAACATTTTTTTACTCGTTTTTTGATGAACTGAATGGATTGTTCATATTAAACAAATTATTTTAAAATTTTTGTTTTTGATCTATTAGAAGAAAATAAATACAATGTTAAGTGTTTGTTACATTGTTTGAGCAATAAAGACCAAGAAGTTTAAAAAAATGTATAAAAATATAATGCAATTTTTGCATTATATTTGTATTCTTTTCTGTTAAAAGCATTATATATTGAACAATTTGAAAACCATGTATACAATTTGTGTCTGGAACTACTACTTGTGTTTATAAATTTTAAGTTTTTTCTAAAAAAAAGAATTCTTTACATAATTAGTTTTTTTAATAATTGACTTTTGACTCTTATATTTAGTTGATACAAAAAAAGGTACTTTGTCTTTTCTCTTCTGTAATATCTGTGTTCGGCATAATACACACATGCCTCCTGTTATTATCATTACTTGAAATAAATATGGCGGTTTGCACGCTTTAAACTTTATGTTGTATTTAATTCTTAGTATAACATTATCCTCAGAATATTACATGGTACCTGAAGTAAACCTGTGTTTCAAATAAAATGGAACAACTTAGACCATTAGAGCCCATGAATTTAAATGGCAATGTTTCAGAAAACTGGCGAAAATAGAAGCAGAGATGGAATCTTTATAAAATAGTTTCAGGAGTCAATGACAAAAACAAAGATATCCAATGTGCCATTTTCCTTCATATGATTGGCGAAGACGCTTTAAGAGTATATGATACATTTGTTTTCACTGTCAAAGAAAACGATAAATTAACACCTTTAGTTCAAAAGTTTGAATGTTATTTCAGCCCAAAAAAAAATATAACTTATGAGCGTTATTTATTCAATACATCTATGCAAGACAGCAGACTATTTACTGACTTCTTAATTGATTTATGAAATAAAGCTAAAACGTGCAAGTTTGGAGCCCTCGAAGAAAGCCTAATACATGACAGAGTAGTCTGTGGAATCAACTCTAAAGCTACCAGAGAACGACTACTTAGAGACACTGAGCTTACTCTAGAGAAAACAATCATGAGAGCATATGAAACATCAAAAACACAATTAAAAGCCCTCAAAAATACAATCCAGGCAGATTCTATAAATAAACACGGAAACAGACCTAATTTCAACTCCCTAAAGATTGATAGACCTTCACAAAAATCTTGCTACTACTGTGGATCACAACATACTACTTCGTTTTGCCCAGCATATGGCCTAAAGTACACAGCATCTGGAAAACTAAACCATTTTGCTAAAGTATGCAGATCCAAAACTAACCGCTTTAATACTAATTGTGTAGACCAAGTTGATCAAAAGGAAGTCAACCTCAACGTTGCAGAGTTATATATTCATCATGTTGCAGCATCAATTGAATGTCCTGACGATTTAACGACAAATATTACAGTCAACAACAAAAATATAACATTTAAATTAGATACTGGAGCTCAATGTAACGTCATTCCATACAACGTCTACAACTCTATTCCTGGAAGACCTCCTCTCAAAAAAACAATGACTCAACTAAAATCATATGGTGGAAACAATATTCCTGTACTAGGAATTTGCAACCTAACTATTAAAAAGAATAACATTTTACAAGTGTGTCAGTTTTTTGTTGTATCTCTGTCTGACATAAAACCACTTCTTGGTCTAAGTTCCTGCAAATCACTTGAAATACTAAACATTAACGATGTTAAAATTGATAAAGTAACATTTTAAAACATTATAGTGATGTTTTTACCAGCCTTGGTTTAGTTAAAGGAAACTATCATAACGCACTTGCTAAAGATGCAATCCCAGTCATTCATGCACCAAGGAAAGTACCAATGACTGTCCTACCTAAACTTAAAAGCACACTTGACCGTCTAGTAAAAGCCACAGTTATCTCAAAAATTTCTAAACCGACACCTTGGGTACACTCAATAGTCATCGTAGAGAAAAAAGATGGGTCCTTAATATTATGCATCGATCTGAAAGAACTAAACAAGTCTGTTTTAAGACAATACAAAACCACTCCATCTACAGAAGAAATCTCTAGCAAACTTTGCGGCAACAAAGTTTTCACTGTTATAGACATGGCTGATTGCTATTGACATGTAAAACTAGATGAACCTTCCTCTGAACTATGCACATTTAACACTCCTTATAGCCAATACAAATTTAACCGCATGCCGTTTGGCATATTATGCGCATTGGATGCTGCACAGGAGATGATTTAACTTAATTTCGGTGATATCCCTAATGTTCTGGCTATCCACGATGACTTAATTATTGCAGCTAAAACAGATACAGAGCATGATAAAATTTTCCAACAAATTTTCCAACGAGCTTGTGAAAGAAACATAAAATTCAACCTAAAAAAAATACAATTTCGAGTATCTGAGGTCAGGTATCTTGGCAACATAATCAGCCATGAAGGCATAAGAGTTGATCCTGAAAAAACTAAAGCCATATCTGGATACCTATTGCTTGCATGTCAAGCAGATTTGCAACGACTCTTAGGAATGGTCAACTACCTGCAACAATTCATCCCAAATATGTCAGAGATAACAGCTTCGCTCCGCCAGCTGCTTAAAAAAGACATACACTGGTCATGGAACCACGAACATACCAGTGCTATGGAAAAAATTAAACAGGTTCTTTCATCTTCTCCTCTACTCTCATTTTTCGACACGTCAAAAAATGTCCAAATTCAGGTAGACGTATCTTCACATGGATTAGGAGCCTGTATTATGCAAGAAGGTCACCCGATCAGCTATACTTCTCGTAGTTTAACCATAGCAGAACAGAGATATGCCCAGATAGAGAAAGAACTTTTAGCAATAGTTTTTGTTTGTGAACGTTTCAACCAATATACCTATGGGCGACAGGTCTCAATAGAAAGTGATCATAAACCTCTTGAATATATCTTGCACAAGCCGCTGTCAGAAGCACCACCTCGCATACAAAGACTTCTGATAAGACTCCAAAAATATCAAGTTATAGTAAAATATGTTCCAGGAAAAGATCTACACATTGCAGACTCTTTATCACGTGCTCACCTCAACATTTTTGACAAGGAAGATAGCCTAAATGAGGACTGCAGTGTTATGGTCCACACTTTAGTTCAAAATTTGCCAATATCAACAGATAGACTAAAACAATTGCAGCATGACAATAAGCTTGACCCTGTGCTCTCTCAAATAACAAACTATATAACTTATGGTTGGCCCCGAAACCGACAAATGCTCTGTGGTGAAGAAAAGAAATATTGGACCATCAGAAACAACTTACACATAGCAGAGGGAATAATTTTAAAAGAAAATAAAATAGTCATACCAACTGATATGAGACCCCTCATATTAACACAGCTTCACTTATCACACCTTGGCACCGAAAAGATGAAAGCTAGAGCTCGAAACGTTGTTTACTGGCCAGGACAATACTCAATTGCCATTAAATATCGTAATAACAACAAAAAGGAAAAAATCATTCAACGCGACATTCCTAATTTACCGTGGAGTAAAGTAGGATCAGACATATATGAGTTGCATGGAAAAATCTATGTAATTGTTATAGACTACTTTTCTAAATTTATAGAAAACAGTATCATTCCTGACAAAACGGTATTTCTGTAATCAATTTTATGAAAACCATTTTTACTTGTCAAGGAATACCTTCAAGTCTCATTGCCGATAACAACCCCTACAACAGTGCAGAATTCCTTAATTTCTCAAAAGAATATGGGTTTAACTTCACTCCATCAAGTCCAAACTATCCCCAATCAAATGGTCTCAGTGAAATGGGTGTAAAAATTATGAAGAAAATACTAAAAAAATGCAACAACCCTGAACTTGGTCTTCTAGAATACCTCAATATGCCTTTCACTGGTATGGACTACTCCCCATCCCAACTTCTCATGAACAGAAGAACGGGAACAACCCTACCTGTCCACCATGACTTACTTATACCAGCAGTTCCTGTAAATGCTTATAGTCAGATCACCAAGTCCAGAAATCGTCAAAAACAATACTATGATCAGAACGCATCTGAACTCCCAAATCTCGTAGCAAACAACACTGCCCAAATGAGAAAAGATGGAAAATGGAAGAAAGTGACAGTTAAAAAAAAATTAACATTACCCAGATCATACAATGTGGTAGATAAGTACAGAAAAGTATATCGACGCAATTGTAAACATCTAATTAAAACCAATGAGCAACCACTAGTATATCAGCACGAACAACTTGATTTGCCATACAATTTACCGGCTGTTATCATATCTCCTACATCAAATGAGGAAACAGCAAATAATGAAATAGAAGCTACGTGTATTCCTGAAACTCAATCGACTGAACTGCAGCCTGACTTGCGAAGATCTTTAAGGACTAAAAACAGACCTGTCTACTTGAGGGACTTCATTTAATAGTGAATATTATAAAGAACTTGTTTAACTATATGATAAATACACATCTTAAACTTTACAAAAAAAAAAAAAAAAATTTAAGAAGGAATATGTAATATTCGTGTTCGGCATAATACACACATGCCTCGTGTTATTATCATTACTTGAAATAAATATGGCGGTTTGCACGCTTTAAACTTTATGTTGTATTTAATTCTTAATATAAAATTATCCTCAGAATATTACATGTTCATTGCGTGATTTATAGATCAAATCTTATTAAGGAATATTTAATATATTTAAATGAAGAAAGTTCATAGAGTAAATTGAGGTAAACATTAAATGTTCACCTGAACTAGTTTTATAGCTCACTGTAATCATTAACTACTTTAAGATTATCCACAAACTATTTAAATTCTTGGTAATAGTCATATAGATCTAATGCCTAAGCTGGAATCTCAACATATTTTACTTTTAGGTTTGCATAATATAACTTGGTAAAAATTAACCAACTCTGGTCTGCTATAAGTGGAGTCAGGCTTAGTAGAATAATATTAAACATAAACATATTAAATATTAAAATTAACATACTTTCTTTTTAAAGCATAAGTTTTAGACCTGGAGTTGAGTACAGCTCCTTTGCAAAGTTCTCTGTTCTTGTACATTGCTGTCAACAAAAGACAGCACTAAAATATAAGGGTTTATATACCAGGTGTGTCGATTTAGAGATTCAATAACAGGTTTGAGTTTTAGGTATTTTGTCATCTATTAAAGAATCTAACATCTTTAAAATTTAAAAGCTTTAACATCTTAAAAATATTTAATCTATGATAAAACCTAAAAATACTTTATACAAAACCATAAATTAAACCCAAATTCAAATTCAAAAAATTTAAAAATGACACCTGATATAAAGCAACCACAGGAGTTTTAGCCTATATAACAACTTAGTGTAAAATACAGTGTAAAGAATGCCTTATCTTTTATTTCATTTTTCTTAAAATTAAAAGCAGGAGATACATTTTCAAAAAGTACAATTTCTTTGCAATAAGTCACATAATGTACAGGCCTAGGCCTTCTAAGTCTGTACTGTTTATCACTAAATAACACCATTATTTTCAATTCTACTAACTCCAGATAATCAGAACTCCACCTATTCTAAATATTTTTTTCAACTTAGACATTACACAAAAGTTTATTTGTGAAGAAAAAAGAAGCTCAAACAAATTAATTTTGAAATGGCCCCTGAATAAAACTGTTTGTTTTACTTAGAGATTTAAGATTTTCACATATATACATAGTATTGCAAAACCTATTCGCCAGTAAGAAACTTATAACATGAGAGATTTTCTTTAACCTTTTTCTTTTTAATAGGCATTTTATTAAGATGTAACTTTTTTTAAATTAATTAGTTACTTAAAATAAAAATATTATCCAATATAAAAAAACAAGTTAATAATCAAAATTTATTGCATATAGAAAGTAAAATGATAACTTTTCACGAAACAAACAAACTTATCTTTTAAGATAATTTATAAAAATGAACTGTAAAAATGAACTGTGTGTATGTTTAAGTATGAATGAGGTATGACAAAAACAAATAAAATATGATATATAAGCCAAAAATAAGAATATGGTGCAAAAATTGCATTTCTTTGAAATTTTAGATAAATAATGTAACAAATTATGCTTAATATTGTATTTATATTTCCTTTTACTAAATTAAACAAAAACAAGTCTAAAAAAAAAAACTTGCACAATGGGAACCCCTAATGTACATAGGATTTTTTGACTAATTAATAAACTGAACAGTAAAGTTGTTTTTGTAATTTTGACCATTGAAATTTTGATAAAATGCAAGTTTTATTTCAATTTTTTATATGGTTTATTTCTTGTAAAGATGTTAAGCACCATTTTTGGTTAAGCCATTTGCTTGGCTTTATTAAATAGGCAAAATTTCTGTTTATCAAAATCAAATCCAAGTTTCAATAATTTTTTGCTGTCCTGTCTCATTGTAAGCACAAAAATGTAGTATTTGTATATGTAGTATATCTAAAATGGACTCCATCTTAGTAAGTTTTGAAAATTAAAAATATTTGAATAGTTGTCATTTTTTATTTTTTGAGGAATATATTTCATGTTTGGTGGTTTTTAGTTTAGAGGATCTTTTTTTTAAAGGAAAGCAGTCGGTACTTTTTATAAATTCATCCCCCCTCCCTCTTTATTTTATTCCTAGAATAAAATAACCTCTGACTTTACTTACAAAATCATTTTTAGGCTAAACTAATGTTTATCTCACCTAACTAAAGTCTAGAATAAAAATGATGCAAAAATGTTTTATCTCTTATTACAATTATCTGTTATCCAACTCTGAGATTATTCTAATCAATTGAAATCTTTGCTACTCTTTTTAAAATTTAGGATAAACTAATGTTTACTCACTTATAAAGAAACCCTAAAACCCATAAAGCAATAAAGAACAAAATTGTGAATTTAATTAAGTAATTTAATGCATTTATTTTTTATTTTATAAATATTTTTTCTGTGTTTGCGTTTCTATGTGTGCTTTTCAGCAGTATTTGATGTAAGAATCCACAAGTTGGTCTTTTAAAAAACAATTTTTTTGATTCACAGCTTCCTTAATTATGAAAACATTGCTAGGTGCAGTACCAACCATGATAACAAAACTTTGTCAGTAGACAAATACTCGCAATGCGAATATGTACAAAACTAACCAAAAAATGACACATTTAACACGCTTTTTAACAAAATAAATTTTTCAAATCAAAACTACATTCAACCCAAAACATATTATATGGCCACCAAATTCTCTATAACAAATAGAGGACCCAAATTATGGAATTCTAAACTTAACAACAACATCAAAACTTCATTTCTTGTATTTATAATAAAACTTAAAAACATTTTACTATTAACAATAAATTAAGTTCTAGATAACTTATTCTTTTTAAACTTATTTATTTACATATATATATATATATATATATATATATATATATATATATATATATATATATATATATATATATATATATATATATATATATATATATATATATATATATATATATATATATATATATATATATATATATATATATATATATACATATATATATATATATATATATATATATATATATATATATATATATATATATATATATATATATATATATATATATATATAATAAAAATACGACATAAGCTATGGGACTTAGTGATAAGCCTACTATTGTCTTCATTTTTCTCCAACCATGTTAATATTTATTTATACATTTTGGTATTGTAGCAATATTTAACAGAAAAATATATATACAAAAAAAAAAAAAAAACAAAAAAAAATAAAAAAAAAAAAACAAAAAAAAGCTACCCTTTGTTTCAATATTCTTTTTAAAGATAAACTTTAAAATTGACAGTTTTATTGATCAATAATAATGTAAAACTCATAATAACCTGGACAGTTTATTACAATACAACTTTGGAGCCTTTCAAAAACACCATTTCCAGTATACTTTAAAGAATAACTTTTTTTAAAGCCCAAGCCACATGTTACTGAACAGTCACTCCATACTGCCCATTCTTCTAAAATAATATTAATAATTTTTTGTAAAAGTGCATTAAAAAAAAAAATTAAATGTGCATATTTTAGCATTTTCTAACTTAATAAAAATTTTTATTTGCCAAAATTGTTTTTTAAAAATTTAAGCTCGAATAACAATTTAACACAAAAAATTGCAATATACTATGTAACATATATACTACATAATGTATATACTACATATAAATGATTTGTGGATGCCTTTGAATATATATATATATATATATATATATATATGAGCTTATGTGGCTAAATATATGTGGATGCAGATATGTGTGTACATATATATTCATATGTGTTTGTATGAACTGTTTGTATGTATGTTTATCAGTGTGTGTACATGCGTATATGTATTTATGTATATACTTCTAGGTATATACATATTTGCTTGTATGTATGTGTTTATTTATGTGTATGTTTATATATGTATTGGTGGAAATGTAGATTTATAGAAATGTGTTGCAAAAAATTTAATCTAATCTGCTCTATATTCTATTGATTGTTTTGCCCTTTTGACCAGTATACATAACTATTGTCCAGTTTACAACACTAAAGATGCTACATCTAATATTCTTTCAATAGCCATTGCATCTTTTTTACCTATAACACAAACCACTTACAAACTATTTATAAAATGAATCATTCAACTCCAAATATTATCACTTCTATTCATCAGTCAGACCAAACACTAACAGATAAGCCAAACGTTAAAATTACTGACTTTCACCATGAATGATTTTTATATTTAAGATAAGTAACACTTCTTAATTACTAAATATAAATACAAGTTGTTAATGTATTGTTTTCATGCTGTCAAAACATTAGGAAATTCCTAAGTTTTTTTAAACATATATTTCACATTATTACTAGATATTGCTTTACTTAATTTTAATAAATAGCTTCTAATGACTGATAATATTTTGGTACTAATAATACACAAGTCACAATGAATATAATTAAACACAAAATAGACCCCAATTCAAATATAGACTACAATACACTTTGTTTAAATATTTAGAGGCTAACTAATAACTGTTTTATAAAACAAATAATTCTACACCACTTCAGATACTTTTTATAATATTAAATTCACGTGCATGTGCACAGTTAATCCTGTTATCTGTACAAATTACAAAACACACTTTTGTACTACATACATCTGTTACAAATTTCCACACGATTGTAGATTATTAATTGTGGAATGTATATACAAGTTATTATTGATATATTGATTCTATTTTAATCTTCTAGATTATTTAGTTGTAACAGTTTCTATATAAATTTTACATGACTACTAGAATCCATGTCCAGCTATCGTTATACCAGTCCTTTAGACTTTTAACTAATTTTGTAATAATTACTCATACTAATAACACATGGTGTAACACATAATAGACCATTGCATGGTGCACCACTAACAAACAAAAACAGGCTATTAGGATATTTTCAAACCTAGATTTTTTCTCACATACACAATCAGTTTTTAATAAACTCAATATTCAAAATTAACTAAATCTTTGGGAGTGTCAACATCTCAAAAGCAGTAAAAAGTAAAAAGCAGTAAAAAACTTATTAAATGTTAGAAAAAAGAAAGAATAAAATTTACATTTTAAGCAATACTTAAAAGAAGTACTAAAAAACAGTAAAAAAAAAAAAAGAAACTGTAAATAAAAAAAACCTAAATTGTAATTTGATATATTGGAATAACATGGAACTATTTCAGTGTTGTTACCAAAACACATATTGGTACCATTTGATATATTACACTCTCTTGTTCTGCTTAAAAACCTGTAGCCATATGAAACATTGCATTTTGACCAATCACTCCATAGATTCCATAAGGCTATCAATCATTTTTTAAATTTTTTTAATAAGGCAAGGATTATCCAAAAAATTTCAAAATGTTATACCAAAAAACTTTAATTAATACAAAACCAATTATAATTGTCAACACAACTTTCAATATTAAATAGAAAATAAAACCAATAATTTGATGATTTTATATATAAAAAAATCTTGAGTGTAAAAAAAAAATCAATTTACACATAAATCTAAGGTTTATAAAAATTAAGGTTAAAAAAAAACTATACTTTAGAAAGAATTGACATACTGCTTAAAAAGTCTAAAAAGATATTAATAAATATTTATATAAGATGTTGATAAAAGATATTTAGATTATACTTATATTGTATTAACAAACTTAAAAAATGGTTAGTTAAAATAACTCATCAGTATTGAACAAAATCACAAAAAGTAATGTTAATGAAAACTATTAAAAGATACACAATAATGCAACAAAACATGCTAATAGTTCAGCGGCCAATTGAGATAATACCTTGAAGTAGTGTAAAACTAATATTTTAATGATTGATTATAAGATATACTTAACTGTAGTATAAAGGATGTCAGTGGTATCTTTAGGCAAATTTAAATATCAAAAGACAAAGTTTACAGGGTTAAAAAAAGAGCTCTCATTTTATTGCAAATAAAAATTCAGTTGAACAAAGTTAAATATTTGTGGTTTAATAAATGTTTATTATATCAATATTATGTAATAATGTATACTAAATTTTTGCAACGCTATAAAATAGAAAATTTAAAATAATTTAAACTACATTTTACAAGTAGTAAAACAAGTAATAAATACTTGTTCCAAAATTGAATTACAAAATATTTAAGAAGAATTTATTCAATAAATCTTAATTACAGCTAATTTAACTTAACTGAATTTATTCTACCTTTTGGCATATTTCATTTCTATTTACAAAACATTCAGACATTCCTTATAATTAGTTTTATCAGGAATTTTCTGAATTTTAAATTGCTTACTGAAAATAATTTTGTAACAATAAAGTTGACTTATTCTCAAATTGTTGTAGTTTTTACTGGTACTAATATGTAAGATACCTGTTTGCTGATACTCTTTTAATATTTATTAAATATGTAGTGTAAAGTGTGTAGTTTTAATTAATTTTATTTGAATATTAAATAAACAAATTTAAGCACTGCTAATATTACTGTAAGCAGTAGAAAGCTTTCTACTACTTACAGTAGTAGAAGGCATGCTGGACAACCCTATGAGTTTATTGTTCACTGTCACTTTTGATGGCAGGAATATCTGCTACTTGATCCTAAACGCCAAGCATAGTAAAATAATTTCAAAGAATGCAAAACATTGAATAAAAAAATTGTAACTTGTTAAAAAACATATCTGTCAAGTTAGCTAAAATACATGAATATAGAGATGAATATAGAGATGAGGTTCATGTATAAGTAATAGGAGCAACAAGTAACCTACATGCCACTGATGGATGGTATCATTTTTTATGCTCCACAAACTTTATGACTGTTTGAAGTGTTAAAAGTGCATAGAATAAAAAATGTCACTAGTGTAAAGTCAAGAGAATAAAGGCCTAATTGTTGTTATCTCTTTATTAACATATTAAAACATTATAAATATAATAACATAATAAACATAGTAAATAAATTAACATGATTATACTATTTACAGTAGCCATAAATAAGCCATGGCAGTGGCTCATTTATGTAGTATACAGCTCTACAAGGTTCCACATTAAATTACATTAAAAGTAAAAGAAGTTATAAAATCTTTGATCTTCTAGATACCTTTGATAATCTTGTTCTTAGTTTATTTAGAATAGCTAGTATCATTTGCTTCTGTGAAGTAGCAGCACACACTATGTTATCTAAAAATTCTATAGAAGATAACTTCAACATGCTCAGAATAACTTCTACAATTAAATCTGAAGTTAAAGCAGTTTATGATAAACAAACAAAAGATTACACTGCATGAATTTGCTCCAATGCAATCAAAGTGACAAGTGAAACATTGAAAAGTCTTCTGATGCAACTGATGCCCAAGTAACAAAGGCATACCCCTCTGAAAAGTGTCTCTTGATGTAACACTTCATTACACTTGTTCATCTAGACTACTTATTGCTATATAGTTTCAGAATTTTCTGCAGCTATGACTAACTAATGAGGTACAAAATTAGCAACTATAATTGCTGAAACATGCTATCAGGAAACTTTGAACTACAGAGAGTATATAGCTTGAAATTTAACATTCTAATTCATCTTGAAATTCAACATTCAACTACTGATAGTAGACAATTATGATAATTTTAATTTACTGAACAATAGTGAAATCTCCTCAACTGTAGTGATAATGTGGAATCTGCTGTTACCATTAAACTGTTAAAAAAAACTGTTACTTATAAGCTACCTGACACAAACAACACATTAACAGGGTACTAATAACTACACATGCTTGCCAATACAGCTAAGATATTTGTTTCTGTTACTGCTAGTTTCAGCACAAACAGTTGTATCACTTGAAATAGCTACCGTAGATGGGGGTAGTGTAAAGCCTATGGGAAAACTAAAGCTATTACAGTATATAATTTTTGGAATTAACAGCTGATGTATTCTTCTAACAGTAGCTTAAACATACTTTCCAAACACTTGTCTGGATTATTAAAACAATATCAAGGTAAGTACAGTAAAACATTACTTAGCTTAAAAAATCGATAAAAAAGTTACCTTGCATAACTTCTGCTCTGAACAAGTCGTTTTTAAATCTAAGATTCTCATAGATCTCAACAAACATAACCTCAGTTCATACTTCATCACACCTTTAAAGGCTATAACCTATAATTTTATTCTTTCTTTTGTTGTGATGCATTTTTTTCAGTGATACACAATATTGGGTAACTAAAGCCACATCATAAAGGTGGCTTTTGTTACCCTATACTTTTTGTGTGGTACTAAAATAAGTCAAAATATTTTAGGTAATAAGTTTTTTTCTTTTTTAGGACTAAAAATGCCTTGAATGCTTGGTACCTAAAAGTATGAGGATTACACAGATGAAACGCTGAAAATAGTTGTAGAAGAAGTAAAGTAAGTGTCATCTTTAAGAAAGGTTGCATAGAAATTTGGTATATCAAAATTTGCTGCCCTGTAAGGTCAACAAATTTTTAATTCTGAAGAAGAAGATTAGTTGAATGTATAAGCATTGGGGTCCCTATTACAGCACTAGACATAAGACTCATAGTCAAAAGTTACCTGAATTGTTGCGACCGAAATAAAATCATGTTCAAAAACAATATGCCTAGTGTTGATTTTATTGACAGTTATATAAAAAAAAACAGTAAAAATTTTTTTCAAATGGTTGGCTCAAAACATTAAAGCAAGTCAAGCGGCTATCAGTAAGGACATTTTGAATAACTAATTAAATAAACTCAAAGAGACATTAAAAGAAGTTGATCGATCAATCATAATTAACTACAATGAAACCAACATGACTGATAACCCAGGGAAAAAATATGTGATTGTGAAAAAGGGACCATTGCATCCGGAGTCTTTAGTATACTTTTCTAAACCTAGCATGTCAGTAATGTTTTCTGAAATTGAAAATTGAACTCAAATGCCTTCTAACATAACTTACAAGGCAGCATATCTGTATGCCTCTTGGACAATGAATGGTCCAGCAGGCACTATAGATAATACATGTAAAAGCAGGTAGTTTACCCTGGAAATTTTTAAAATTGGTTTCAGAGATTTTAGCTTTACCCTTCTTTAAACTATTTGACAGTGATGCCAAGAAAGTTTTGATAGGAGACGATTTGTTGAGTCACATCTCTGCCCATATTATTGAAGAATGGAACAAAAACAACATCAAGTTTGTACTGCTACCTCCTAACAGTATGCACTTCACACATCCTTTAGATGTGGCATTTTTTTGGCCATTAAAAACAAAATGGCACCAGACTTTGAAAGCCTGTGTTTTGGAATAGAGCCAACTGTAGCTCTATTCCAAAAGGCAGGTTTCCAAGACTTCTGAAAAAGTGCCTTGATGCTTTAGATAAGGAAAACATAAGCAAAACATTAAAAAGTTAATTTAAGACAGCTAGTATTTTCCTCTTAGACCATAATGAAATTCTGAAAAGGCTTCCTGATGGTGATGCCACTGCCAAAAGTAACTCCAGTTGCCCACAAACAGCATCTAAAAAGCTTAATTCAAGCATCAACTGGACTGATTCTATCAAAGCCTTCTTTAAAGAAAGTAGGAAGAAAGAGACTTTTAAACAACAGAAGAAAAGAAATTTCCTGCAAGGAAAGGGGCTTGGACACAATTCTGATCAATAATGATGATCCTCAACCGAATACGTCCAAAATAACTGACACCAAAACAAAGAAAAATAAAAGCAAACTAAAGACTTTGAAACATAATAAGAAAATTGCAAATACCAACTCATTTGACAATACTGATGACCAGTATTCTTTAAGAGACCCTAATTTAGATCCAGAAACATTTAGTGACTAAATTTAAATTTTCTTAAACTGTGGTTTAAGAAAATTTAAAAATTAAGTTTTTAAATCTTGTTTCTTAAAACTTTTCATTTGTAAAGACGGTAAACTAAACAGCAATTTGAGAACTCATCAATGTGATGACAGTGACAGACATTTCCATCATTGATTCTACATTGATTTTACTTTAATCTGATATGCATTCTGTATTCTTATAAATCTGTAGTTTTAATTAAAATTAAAGGAAACAATTTTCTTCCTATTTATTACTTATTTTATTGATTTCAAAGCATATTTTATATTGAACATGTAGTTTGTTCTTGGAACTATTATTTATGACTTGTTTTACCAGTTTGTTTAAAATTTTTTTTGTTAACTATTTATAGTGTTGCTGAAGTATATTAGACATTAATATTACAAAATATTTACGTAACAAACATTTATCAAACTGCAAATATTTATTTTTGGTCAGCAGGTTGCTTTTCATTTGCAACAAGATGAGTTTTTTCAACC